AAAAAGTTACATCCTTTTTTTACTCTGACTGATATTTAGCATCTGCTTCCACTATGAATACGGGCAGCAAACTATAGTAGTATTGGCAGGGACTTGGCTTTTGCCAATAAAATCCATGGATATTTTCTTATCACCTAACAGTTACTATGTGTTTCACATATTTTGAAATACTTATAGTCAGCACTGTTTTGAAATCACCGTATTTATAAAACCCTCCAAGAGGTTGATAGTGTGAACAAAGAAGCATCTTCATCCCGGAAGATAGCCTCCAAAACCCTGAAATTTCCTGCCAGGAGTGAGACATTGGAGGTGGTGTGTTATACAGCAGTAGCTGACTGATATACCTCTGGACACCAGTACTCACCCCACTTGACTGAACTTCCTGCTTTCCCATCTTCTCTAAGCCAGTTACCCCAGAACCTAGCCCATGTCAGGGGCAAACCTTGTGCCAATTCCCAACTCTCCCTCCTCCATCTTCTTGGTTCCTATTTTGCTTCTCATTAGCCTTGTAGTCTTAGAGGGTGAGGGAATATGTAACTTCTCTGGCCTTGCTTCTTTAGGGTTGTTGGGAATATTGGATTTTTATAAGTATTGGTGTTATAAACTCTCTAGGATAATTCTAGGCCTATGGAAGATGTTCAGTAAATCAGCCATTCCAGACTGATACCTGAGAAATAGTATGGACATTGCTCCATTGAGGTGTGAGAAAAAGAAGCAAAAGCTAAGGTGGATGGATGGATGGATGGATGGATGGGTATAAGAATTTGTGTGACTGATTAGGTGTATGGATAAAGGGATGAATGAGGATGTCTGTACCTTTGGGAGGATAGATAAGCAGATGGTTGGGTCATTTATAAACAGATGAATGGAGCCCCTCATCCCTAGGGATGCCTAACTGCCTCATACTTACTTCTTTTTCTCTACCTTCTAGCGCCCACTCATTCCTCTCCTTTACAATCAACTTCTGGGTTATTTTAAGTGTTCTGTTAAACAAATCACAAAACTCAAATTGGCTGGTTGAGAGTTTCTAGCATTCTAATTGTGAAGCATGGTCCTGAATGGCTCGGGAGCTGATGGGATCTTGAAAAAAGCCCAAGATGCTGAGAGAAAATGAGAAACATGACATTTTGAAAAGGAAGCCAATTTTCTTTAAAAACTATTGCCTCTGTAAACCATATTGTAAATCCAATAAATTCACATAATATGATGGCAAGTCTCTCAAAAAAGAGAAAGGGGAGAGGCGAGGAAGAAAAAGAAAAAAGGACAAGGAAAATCTTGCAGAGACATCCAAAATCATTCCTCCACTTAAAAGCAATTGCTTTGATCCTTATGACAGTTATTAAAAGCCAGACTACTTGGATTCAAATACAGACGCCACCACTTCCAAGTGGAGTAACCCTGGGCAAATCATTTAACCTCTCCATGCCTCAATTCCTTCTCAATAAAATAAGGGTGTTAATGATACCTACTTCATTTGGGTAGTTGTGAGGATTACTGAGGTAGTATTGGTAAAAAAAAAACTCTTAGAAATCTTCCAGGTATAGGGTAAATGTGAGCAAATATTATTACTATTACTCCCACACACACTCACTAGGTGAAGAACACAGTACCAGGACCCAGATGACCTAGGGAGTGTGAATAGGTTTAGCACTGCTCTGAAGACTCTCACCATCCTCTACAGCCTCCCATGTTGATATTCCCTCCCCCTGATTACTCCCAATGATGCTAGCAATGACTGCTCACAAATTGAATCCCAAACATCATGTAACCCAGGTATGGAGGTGGACCACATGGTCCAGTCTCAACACAGTGTTTTACTGAAAGAAACAGCCCAGCAACCAAAAAGTAATTTAAAGGACTTCAAATATTTACTTGATCTCTGAAAGAATTTCAAAGAGAAAAGTACATTCTTAACACCCAACAAACATCTTTAAAATCTCCCCTATCACTACTGCTTCCAATATCCCACACATA